AATCTCTAAAACCAAGTTGCCAGATAGTGGTGGTATCTTCGTTTTGTCTTTGTGTTCAACGTTGTATTTTGTTCAGTTGATATCGCTTATTATTAGCAGTTTTCTCAGTTGTTTGGAGCCTCTGTGGGTATTAAATTACAGCTATTAATTTCAGCAAGCTGACAGTCACGGGAGGGCTGGACCACGCTTTGCTCAGTGTTGCAAGGGTGCAGATGGGTGGCAGCCACCCTTTTCAATCTCTGCACAGCAGTACCTTTCCGAGGTTTATCATACCATATATAACATAAAATACTTTCTTCTACCACCTCCACACTTTTTTAAAATTTTATTTACTGAATTTTCACTGAATTTCACTGAATTTTTAGAGTTGGAAGGGACCATAGAGATCATCTAGTCCAACTTCCCTGCTGAAGCAGGATTGCCTAGAGCTAGAGCATGTTACTCAGGACTGCAATTAATACCTCTTTGGTCTTTGATGAGAAAATTTATTTCCATTTGTCCAGTTTAACTAGTTCTTTGTGCCGTCTGTGTTTTGCTGCCTGCTTCTAGCTTATGGTTTTGTTCTGCCAGCCGGTGTCCTAATGTCTGTGTTTCTTCTGTATGAAACCAGTAGCTTTAGCAGCTCCCTCAAATACACGATCTTGGTGATGTTTGGCGAAGAATGAATGTTGCTTTTACAGTAAACTTTAAGACTGTTAAATGCATACCGTGACTGAGTTTCTACTGGCATCCCCTTTGATCCTGGGAGGAGAGAAAAGTCGGCACAAGCACCTGTGAATGTAAATTTAAGTCTGTTTCCTACCCCAAAAAGCTTTTGCTGGGAGCACTGCTTTAAGGAGTGACGGGAAAACAGCCTGAGCATATCAGATCTCTGCCAGGCCAAAGGTATCTATGTCATGGTTTTAACAACAAACAAAACCAAACATTATTAAAAAAAAAAAAAAAAAAAAAGGAAATTAGGAAAAAATAACAAAAAAAAAACAACTAGCAAGCCCTTCAGCTGGATAGAATGGATAGAATGCTCGGGGGGCGGTGGGTGGGGGAATGTGGTTTTGCAGAGGTGGAAGGAGAGGGGTTGGGACTGGGAAACATTTTGTAACTTGTGACCCACTCCATAAAGAGCGCAATGGAAATTCTCAGCCCAGTGGGAATGGGAGAAAAAAAACACATGGTAAAATTTGGGAAACCTAGGAAATGGTGTGACACAGGGAAAGCCAAAGAGAAGGAGCTGGCAATGCAGTTACGGTGAGTAATTCTCCATCAGCAGAGGCACATAGTCTGATTTCCTTGCTGTGTTCAAAGGTCTGCCAGCCCTCCATGTGTTGTCCTAACTTTCTGGCTTGCCACCTTGCATGTGTTGTCCCCACAGATCGCTGTGTTCACAGCTTTGCTCCATTTGTATGTCCATTTTGATTGCATTTGTCAAGTCAGCATATCTTACTGTACATCTAACTAAAAAGTTCCTCTGAACCTGCTGTGAGACCTCAAGCCAGTGACCCCAACTTGGGGCACAGAAGGGATGTGACTAAAATGCTAGAAAAATCCCTTCACCATCAATTACAAGTCATAGAGCTTTCTTAATCATGTTAATGACAAGCAGTGCTGTAATATTAAACTGTGCTTCTCAAGAGTTCCCGGCAGGTAAATATTAGATATAATACCTATATATTTAGATAGAATACCTCCCAGGAGGCAAATATTAGCGTGATCCTGTATGTATGTGAGTGACTGCAGAGCAGACCTACCCTGGGGCAAAGAGAAGCAAACGATTTACAATGGCAGGGTGAAGGACTTACGGCTCCAGGGGTAAAATTAAGATGTTCTGACTCCTGGCTTGGGAAAAGTCCATGCAAAAGGTGAAAGATAATATCTGAATTGTTGTCTTAGAGATATGTGTGTAAAGTACCTGGGTCCGATATAGGAGTTGGTCTGTTAAAGGCTTCCACCAGAGGCTTTGGGGACTTTTTGACTTGCAGAGAGGGTCTGTCCCACCTGGTGAGGTACAGGGCTTGCTTGTTCTTCCCCAGCAATACAACTTGTTTAAGGAGGAGAGACGCTGCAAAACTTGTCTCATTCTTTTTAGTTGTTTGTGATTAGTTTGAATATTTGCTTATAAATTGCTCTGGCTCCTATGGGAAATGAGTTAAAATGTTAGCAAAGCTTCTCAGAATAACTGGCAAATACAAGTGTTTGATACAGAGCAAGATTACCTACCTCATAGAGCATCTTGTGGCATTAATTTTTAGGGTGTCTAAGCTCACCAAATTAATAGACTTGTCATCAATGTTGTGTGAGGAAGAAATGTGAGGAAGAGGTGGGAGGGAGGCAGAGTGAGCTGGACTGCACCAGCTGCAGAAGACCACCCTCTTTCTTCCTCTTCATGCTAAGGATCCATTGCAGGGGTGACTTCCACCCGAGACCTCAGTGAAATATTTCTGTCTAGTTTCCCTAGCCTCTCACAGAGGAGGGTGTCTGTGACTTCCCAACTTTGGGAAAGGGTGAGCGTAGAGAAGGGAAGAGGATTCTCTTTTATGACTTTTTATTTTATTTAATCTCAAAATGAACTTGGCAACTCTGTAAATCTCCCTTGGGAAAGCAGCCCGTCTCCTGGAGGATTGCTCCCACTGTTTCCCAGCTTCTCCTAAAAGAGTCTTGACAACCAAAAAGCAGAGAACATCAAGGGCTTTCCGAGCCTGCTGGGATTTATGGATTTGTTTTCAACTTGGCAGTGAGAGGATGGACTCGAATGCATCTCAGCAGAGATGCCAAAGAGCAGCAGCCTCCTGCCCTGTCTGCGCAAAAGCTGTCTCCTTCCTTTCTGTTAGCAGCCCCTTCCCCTGCCTCAGGAGCTGACAAAGCCAAAAAACCAACCCTCCTGTCTTGGAAAGTGCAAAAGGCTCTGCAGCAGAGACTCCCGAGTCCCAGATGCTTGTGCCGTGGTGAAATAACACAAGATCCTGTGCTTTGCATGGGCTCCTGGCCAGGGGCAGAGCCCCTCTCAAGCAGGCAGTGACACAGCGCTGCTGCGGGGCTGCCCTTCCAACAACAGCTCCATGAGAAAAAGCCCTCTGAGAGCAGAAGAGCCAAGAGAAACCAAGTTCTGTTTGGCGCCAAAGTCTGATTTGTTTTCCCAGACACTTTCTCAGCAGAATCCTCATTCTATGGATTTTACTGAAAGATTCCCCAGTAAATAAGACAGAAGTGAAACAAGAAAAAAAAAAAAAATTATTAAACTTTGAGTGAGAGTTTTGAACAACCACCAAATTCCTGTGCATCCTCAAAGGAAAAGGAGAAAAGCTTATGTACATGTCTCCAGCAAGCCAAGGGCACTATACAAAGGCAGCCTGCCAATTTTCCTATAGACTTTAAATGTTTTCTGTGTTGAAATATGTAACATACATTCCAGACATAAAAATAAATGTTGATATGTGCGCTTACATCCTGCTCCCTTGCTGTGTGTATGTCTTCTGAATGCTGTCGCTTGCCACTTGCTCTGTTTGAGTGGGAGGAAGGTGTTTTTCCACTCTGCATCGCACTTTCTCTGCGAGTATATGCATGTGTACAGCAGCATATATGTGTACATCACTGTATATATATGCACAGCAGCAGCTGGGAAAGCTCTGGACAGGTTGCAAGGTAAGTCAATGAGCCTGGCACAATATAGGCATTTAATTCATAAAATGTCTCGGGGCAATTCAGCGTGTGGCATATTTCAGCTCAACTAATGGTGGCTGTAGAGCTCAAATGCTTTTCAAAGTGTTTCACAGTGCATTTATTCCATAGTTTTGTTTTAACGTCATTTCTAATCTTTATGTAATACGCAGTGGATATTGTGTATGGCAATATGCACCAGCCATTCCTGGTGATCCAGTTATATATTATGACTATAATTAGTGGAAAATTCATGACATATGGAAAAAAACGTCATGTTCTGTAAAGATAAATCCTACCTCCAAACTCCAAACTAGAATTTCTTGGAGCCAGCCACATGGCTGTAAGAGATTGAACTGATACGGTATATTTATTTCCTGAAGATTCTTAAAACACCACCACCAAAAAAAACTGCTGGTAGTCTCCAGAGGGAAATGTGTCAAACAGTCACCACTTTCATAAAATGCACCATGTGATAATGTTACTAAAGGTAAATTACTGCTCCTGAGTCACCTTTTTGAAAGCAAGAGAATTGAGAGTTTTCAGTGAGGGCCACGTATAATTTCTGCCTGGGACCAACATCACCAATTGCATTTCAGAGAAGAACCTAACTGAGATACTGAGACCCCACCTGGAGTAGCGCGTCCAGCTTTGGAGTCCTCAGCACAGGATGGACATGGACCTGTTGGAGCAAGTCCAGAGGAGGGCCATGAAGGTGAGCAGAGGGCTGGACCAGGCTGAGAGAGCTGGGGTTGTTCAGCCTGGAAAAGAAAGGCTCCAGGGAGACCTTAGAGCAGCCTTTTAGTACCTGAAGGGGGCTACAGGAGAGATGGGGAGGGAGACTTTATCAGGGAATGTAGTGACAGGGCAAGGGGTAACTGTTTCAAATTGGAAGAGGGTAGACTTAGATTAGATTTTAGGAAGAAATTATTTACAGTGAGAGTGGTGAGATGCTGGAACAGGTGCCCCACAGAAGTTTTGGAGACCCCATCCTTGAAGTATTCAAATTCAGGCTGGATGGGGCTTTGAGCAACCTGGTCTGGTGGGAGGTGTCCCTGCCCATGGCAGGGGATTGGAACTAGGTGATCTTTAAGGTCCCTTCCAACTCTAACCATTCTGTGATTCTATGACAGTGCAGGGTCAGAGTTTGTAAATCCAACCTGGATGTTGGACTTGATGAAGCATTACTGCTAAGAGGAATGGAAGAACTTTAAAAAATAATAAAAAAAAAAAAGAAAAAAGATTACATTGTTCAGAACAAAGTGGTTTAGATTACCATTTTATAATGTATTAAAGCATTTTTAAAACATGTCATATTGACATACTTAAACTTTGGTACAATGCCAAAAACCTTCTGGACCAACCTTAATATTTGAATCACAACCTGAAGAATTCAGTGGAATAATGCAGAGATTAGCAGCTTTACAGTTTACTGAAAAAATAAACGTCCCAACAGAACACAGTTTAAATGTTTGTAATCATAAATCAGCTCTATAATTGCATTATGAGACCATGCTTAAGTTAACAGTAGTTTTCTTGTTCAATACAACAGAGACACTTTAAAGGGTTTTGTTGTTGTTTTTTTTCTCTCTTGGTAACATCTGAGTTTTTCCTTTTTTTAATTAACAGCCCTGATCCCTTAGCCCACATCAGGACATAGACTGGAGATTACTTCCCTGATTTGATTCACATTGTGTGTGATCCCTGAGAAAAATACCTGCAGCTTCCTTCAGGTGCTCTGGGATACCTCCCCCACCTCTGCTCATGATTCTGCACGGTCACAGCATTGATTTATAAACAGGAGATGTACCTTTGAAAGCTCGCTGACAGAGGGCTGGACCTCTATCAGGCAATAACACAGACCCAAAGATGCCCGACAGCCCTGTGTTAGGGGAACCAGTCCAAACTCCTGTTTATCCTTGTTGAGTAGGTAGTCATGGGAGTGTCTGTGGAGAGCCTTTTACTGGGGAGTATGGTACTTTTATGGTAGTTGAACAATAGGTTAGGACTGTAAAAACATGTCTGGTGTTTCAAGGTGCTAATGAAGATCCATGCCATCCTGAAACTGGCCACCAGTGAGGTTCAAATTCTGACAGTCCGGTTACCCCGAGCCCTCCCATTCGCTTCCATGGAAGGCAGATGAGATCCCACTGCATTGAATGGCAGCATTTGCCTTGACGTGATGCCCCATGTGAGGTAGCCGGTTGATGCTTAGACGTGCTCCAGGAACAGCTATAACCCTTGCCATTGAGCCCTTTAGTAAGGTTTGGTTAAGCCTCAGAGCAGCATCTTTTTTGCCCTGGGATATACGCTTGTTGGGAAAGGTTTGATCTGGCAGCTTCACAAGTTTCTGTGTCTTTGAATCAGTAAAGTCAAACTGGCGATATCCCTGATATCAGGGTACAAAGCCATGACGTGGTCAACCTCGCCGTAAGGGAAGAGGGAGCACAGCTCCCTGCGTATGTCTGCTTGCTGGGCAGATGGTGGTCTCACAGCTGGGGTGGGCCAGTAGTCACTGTAAGGGGTGTCGGGGTAAGCATGGGCTTTCTGGAAGAAGCCCAGCTCCTTGCTGGAGTCCAAGAGGAAGGGGTGCCGTGGGTGCGGGCTGGGGAAGCAGTGCTGCTGCTGCAGGTGATGCTCGCTGTACACGTGGAGCGGGTCCGGTGGAAGAGCTGTGGACTGCGGCAAAACACGGGGCTGGGTCTCCAGGACCCGTTTGTGCTGAGCACCACTGGGGACGTAAGGGCTCCTCTGACCCATCCTGTGTGTGCTGCAGCACTCCTGGGGCCACCTCCAGTCTGGGCTCATCCCGCCCCGCGCAGGCAGGAGCACCGGTCGCTGGAAGGGGCATCCTGGTGGGCTGGCGTGGTCCAAGCTGTGGGGGTGATGAAGGGAGTAGGGGTTGTGCCTGAGGTCACTGCAGCGATGAGGGCTGTCCGTCACCTCTCTGTCCTGAGAGGGATGTGTGGGCCCGTTGTAGCTGTAGGTGCCGTTACCGATGGATAGCGCTGACATCTTCTCCAAGAGCGGCTGGTCTCGCAGCAGCTCTGGATGTAGAAACTGCTGGTCCAGACCCAAGTCAAAGCCGGGGCCACCAGCCCAGGTGCCAGATGGCCACTCAGGACAGCTTCCCTGGGACCACCCTGGGTAGCTGCTGGCTTCTGGCAGTGATTCTGTGCAGGCATGAGGTGGTGCAGGATCTCCTCCTGTCCTGTACATCAAGCAGTTACACTTCTCCTCTTTCCTCAGGCTTAACGGAACCCCTGTTTTGGCCCTGAGCTCATCAGCCACTGAGAGCTGAGCTTGGTGTGGTCTCTCTGGGTGGTAAAATTTGCACTTATTGCCATAGGTGCATTTTTTACCTGAAAGAATAATAATAATAATAAAAAAAAATATCAATCAGGAGGTCACTAGCAGCCATGTCAATTAAAGTCCTCACCATTTCTCCCCAGCACTGTGCGGTTGCAGGGGCGTGGGGAGCATGAAGAGCAAAGAGGGGAAGTGCTATTTTCCAGCTCAGTACTTTTCACCCCAGATTTAAATATCGCTGACCTGAACAGCAGGGTGAAGCAGCAGTGAAAGGAAGTCTCTGCTATTTTGGAAATGTCTGAAACTCATTTATGTTCCAGTTGCTGCACTCAGTGGGCTGGGAGACCTGCTGCTAGAAAGGGTTGCTTTAAAAAAAAAAGGGTTTTACCACTGAGGAACCTCCATGCTACTGGAAATCTGTTGGGAGGAGAAGGGTTTGGATGGCCTTTCCCAAGTGCTACAATGCAAGTCCAGGCTGTAAAGTGAAAAGCCTGTGCAGGCAGGGTACCCGCTTTGGGTGCTGCCTGCAGGGGAGGATGGAGGAGCCAGAAACAGCCTCTGTTGAGGCTGAAGCCACTTAAGCAGGAGAGGAAAAAAGCATCACACGTGCCAGCAGCCCAGACCCAAGCCCCTGCCACACGAAGAGGGTCTCGGCTTGCCCTCGGCTGAAGGAATGTGCTGCTGGGAAGCGAGGGGCAGGAGGAAGAGGGGTGGCAGTTCACAGCAGGGAGAGAAACCCACCATAGGGACAAGGCTGCCATTTTGGTTCAGGAAGCACTGGCTTTTTGCTGAGGAAGTTACTAAGAGTGGGTCCATGCCGGCCTAACGGGTCATCGGGAGGCATAAACCTGAAAAAGGAAAATGTCACTTGGAGGGGGGAGGTAACAAAAATACCTCGAGCTTTTGGAGCTAAAGTGCCATCACAGCTTGTGGCACAAGCTCAGGGCAGAAAATCCTTGTGGTCCTTTTGTGGCCTGGCCTTCAGGAGTCAGGCTGCGTTACTGGACACAGTGCCCTCCTGCCTGCAAGGACAGCGCTGCTTCAGCTCCATGTAGTTGTTGTTTTTTTCCTAGTAACTAAAAGCAACGGGAAAGGCACGGCAGCTTGTTGTAGCTCTGGCCGGTCAGAGGTCCCCACCATTGCAGCATCCCTTCCTTCTTCTCTGAAGCAGCAGCAAGCTCTTCTGTGGTACCAGCGCTGCGATACTGGCCATCAGCTCCCTTCCCTTTTCTTACTAAATACTTAGAAGAGTGAGGATCAATTCAGTTAATTGAGAGCTACAGCTGATCATGCACATGGTGTGATAAACAGGCCCAGCCTTGTCAAGGATCTGGTGATGGCTCAGCCTCACAGGCACGGTGCAAGTGCCTTAACGAAACCTTCCCCAGTGGGGATGATTAAGGGCCAGAGAGACCAGCTTCTTGTCTCTCGTCTTCTGGAGAATTATGATTACAAAAGCATAGGAAACAGGGGGAATTAAAAATACTGCCAGAGAGCTGACCTCCCCTCATGGATTTAACTCTGCTTCTTATAGGTAATAGAAATTAAAAGATACCAAGCCTCGGGTTAACATCCCAGTTTAGATTGGCAAGAAGTAAAGCTGGTCATTAATGCTGCCATTCAAATAGAGAATTTCATTGAAGAGTGACAAGGGGGATTTAAGACCAAAGCTGAGGGAGCAGGAACTACAGAAATGAGATAAGAAAAGTTGCAGTAAATTCCTTTTTCTGAAAAAAAAAGGCTCATGTACTCTACTGCCGGTGGGACGTGCATTGATGCTGGAGCTGACTTGGCCCATAATGTTTAAATTCAAGCTTGTTTAACAGCAACTGTCTCTTACCTGTTACTGACAAAAGAGTACATGAGTAGTCGCTGCTCAATAAACCATTTCCACTCGGGGTTTTCATTCTGGAGGTCCCGGTAATTGTCATTGGAGACAATGACTCCGTCTTTCTCATAAGCGACCTTCACTATATAGCGATCATCGTAGCAAACTACCCTCTTGCCTTTCACCTTCCGGGATGGGGTGTACACAAGGATCGATTGCTTTTCAAGCTCTTCAAGAATATGCTGATCTGGTGGGGTGGTTGGAAGAAATAGAAGAGGAAAAAAATAAAAATCAAAAAAATAATCAATTAATAATGGCCTTGTGCTAGAAATGCTCCATCATGTGCTGGAAACCAACAGGACTCTAAAGAATTTCCAGCACTTTAGGCAACTTAAAGCTGAGTGATTTTCAGATACACTGATATTTGGTGGTTGTTTGGCAGCTTGAAAATTAGGTCTTTTATAAAAGCATCTAATCTTAAAATTTGAGATACCTTTTTTAATTTTTAAGTCTTATCCAGTGATGGGTGGCTTGAATTCTACACCAGAAATATGCTGAACCCCTCTAGTTCCCCTTTTAGCCCACTAGATGCAAGAAGGCTCATAATCAGCCCCGGTGTGAGTGTCACTGGGAGATAAATTGTGTCTGATAGAATAAATAAATAAACAAACAAACTTATTTTGCTGCTGTTGAAAACACCCTGGCTTCTTGTCGTTCCTGCTACACAGAAAGATGGATCTCCAGCTGCCTTATCTGCAGCCGCAGATGCCAAGCTGCTGGCACAGATCTGACAGATCTCTTTCCAGACAAACTAAGTCTCAGCACCCTCCACAGGCTTCAGAAGGTGCGTTTCCTTCTCCTGGGAGAGGAACCTGTGTAGCTCCTGTATCAGGGTAATAACAGCTAATAGTCCTGCAGTAGCCAAAGCTGCAGATGCTGCAGCCTTTGAATAATGTGTGAAACGATGTCACCAAGTCCTGGCCGGCCTTAAACGCTCTGCAGACTCACTTGTTCTTTAACTCAGCTGGCAGCGAGTCATGCTTCTAAAGCAGAAGGCTTGAGGCAGCATAACAAAGCCCTGCAGGCAGTTTTAGCTGCCAGCCAGGAGCGTGTAGCAATAAATTAATGACTAATTTAAGTGATGGAAACCTGATACGCGACTTGCACTCTGTGTGTCTTCACAGGGAAAACCCATACTGGGCTCTTCACACCCATTGCCTCCAAATTGCACTTAATGGTTGCCAAATTATGCCCAGGATAGTGACCTACCTGCAATCGGACTGTCTTGACGAGGGGGCTCCTTTCTCCAGAGTGGGACAAAAACCTTGATGTATGTGTGCCCCCTTTCTCGAAACCAATCCACTGCCAGCTGGATCCCCCAGCAGGAGAATACCTCTTTGTTTCCATGACTATATATAGGAAAAAAAAAAAAAAGGAGGAGGATGGTGAGGCAAAGCTTTCAAGAAGCTTAGAGTTGTCTTTAACTGAGCCAGTAAAGAAAAGGCAAAACAAACATCTTTTGAGTCGTTCACCAGTTTCCAAGAAAACAGCCTGGCAGGGTATCCTGGCTGAAACACCTCCAGCAGAAACAGAAACTTGTTATCTGAAGCAGCTTGGATACTTAAAAACAGAGGTATCCTATACCCCATTTCTATGACCTGCCTGCTACCCAAACCTGCTACTTCCATCTGTATCTGGATGGACTTGGGTCCTAAAGTACCAACAATATCTTAGGTTTATCAGATCCTCCATGTGTCTTGTCTGATAATGGTTTGAGGAGTGAGAGTTTCTTCCAGCACAAGCAGAAACCCATGATGCTCTCCTATGAGAAAGAAAGTGTGGGAATTTTCTGCTGTGGTAGCAGTGACATTAGAGATTTCATTGTCTGAAGCTGCAGCTGAACTCTGTTGGAAACAGGAGTCCACCTATGGGAGAGGGAAAACTGTAAGAGGCAGGATGGGAAATATGGAAAACCTAACCCAGGACACCAGAAAAAGGGATGAGACCTCAGTGGAGATGGCCACAGGCACCTCAGTGCCATCTTTACCTTGCCCTAGTTTGTGGATTTTTTGCCCTAGTTTATTGCACAGAGAAGTAGCGAAGCCCTAGGACAGGTGCCACAGCAAGGTGGGTTCTGGAGAAATATCACTATTCAGATCAAGACACAGAAAACAACCTCAAGAAATAAGGACGATATCCTTCTCGAGTTTCTCTCCCTCCCCTCCCCTCCTTGAAAGTTCTTACACCTTGTAATTCTCTTATCTAAAATTTAACTACAATGCAGTGCACATGTAAAGGAAGATAATTTTTTTTTACTACCTCTGCATAAGGAAACAAAAATAAACTCTATGCAAAGTCCTAAAATTGATAAATACCCTCCAGTATGTACAGAAGCCTCATGCTTGTACTTTGAGCTTTCTGGATAATATCACCACAGTCTCACTCAGGCTTTCACCTCTGCAAAACATACTTGCAAATGACTCTCTTGGTTACTACACCTACCTGCAGCTATGGACCAGTCGAGGACAATGTCACTGTCTTAAATACCTCTCTCCCCACCACCCCACAGTAATTCAAGTCCAGGTTATGCCCACATCAGCCTCATAATCAAAGCTCCATCTTACACCTCATAAAAATGTGTGCGCTGGAATGGTGGCCACAAATGAAAACCAATGTACTTTGGAAGAAGAAACATGGTTGTTTATTAATAGCTACTCAGTAGGAAGTCTTAAAGAAAACCCCACCCAGCAATAATAAAGGGTCTGAAGTGCTCAACACATCTAATGTCCACTCCAGAGCAACTGTTCTGTTCGGTTTTAAAGGCTAAGTTTGACCCAGGCTAGGTATAAAGACAGGTGAATTGAAAGTGCAGGTGACTTTTTCAGATAACTGTCTTTAAAAGGAAGTCTAGGTACATCTTTAATGCCATGACTCAAAGAAAGCTCAACAACAGCCTGCTTTCAACGTTGACTACTCATATATTTAACCTTGTCAGCTTTAGGAAAATAATTCTAGATGTATGCCCAGTGCAGCAGGTAAAGCATTCAAGTGATTTGTCCCAAAGGCCAAGCAGAACCAGCAAGAAGAGGCACCTGGAGCTGGTTTTGTGCTATCACTTAATCCAGGTGCTGCTGAATTGCTACAGGGGCTTTAAAACTTTTCATTCTCCTGCACGGGGAGCTTGTGTTGCCTGAGGACAGAGCTGTCATGCTCAGTCCCATCGCTCTCCCTCCTGTCAGCAACAGGGACATGGCACTTGGGTCCCTGATCAGCAGGGCCCATCTCTCAGGAACCAAAGGAGCAATTTGGCCTGACTCTGACTCCGGCAATTAATCCATAATTAGCATGAAGTGGATCCTTTTTGCATTGTGCAAGTCCAACCCCTTTGAGAAGAAGTTTATTCAAAACAACTTGTTTTGAAAACTGCGAATGGCCCCATCTCCACCTGGCCAAGACACAGCATCAGCCACAGCTTTGGCAGAAGGGGGAGAGCCAAATGCAGGACTCTGCTGGCCTAGAAGGCACCTGTACTAATCACAGCTTAAAAACTAGGTGTAAGTGCAAGCACTAGACTGGATAGCAGCAAACAGGGTTATGACAGTTGTCTTTTCATATTAACAAAACTCAATTTCTGTTTTTTCCACCAGCCTTGCTAAACCATCCTGCCCACTTTCCAAGGATGGGCCAGCAGACAGGTAAGTTTCTCATTACATCTGATGGAAGCACAAAGTGTACTCAGATATCTGACTAGTGAGACTGGCTGAAGGAAAGGTTATTATCCATTTGGTTTCTATGGACGGGCTGATGGATGATTAGAGACCACCACCTCACTCACTCACTTTATTACTCTGGGGCATATATGTCCTTTTCAAAACCTTGTACACTACCATAGGCCCTCCACACCAGCTCTGAAAAGCTCCAGAAACACCATTCCAGAGACAGAAATACAAATGCTCAAGATGCTTTTCTCCACCCAGGAAACTGCATCTCCAGGCTTCAACTTTTTGACAGCTTCATCCCTAAACTGCTGCTTCTCCTGCACTTTCATGGTTGTTGGTGCTGCTGCTGATGTTTTCATGGCAAAGAAACCTGACATCCCTTTTCCCTGACTGTGCTGCAAAGCGCCCTTCTCCATCTGACAGCAGCAAACCAGAAAAAATAAAACAAGGATACCAAAGCACTCATCAAATCCATCCCATCAGCCAAAGTAAATGTCATTCAGCACCACTTCGGAAAGGCATCCAGGAGAGGAAAGCAGTTCTTTCCAGGCTGTCAGTTCAGCATGAACTAACAAGCTAAACAGTTTTCTCCATCGTGCCAAGCAGTCTTTAACTTTATCAAGACAGAGGCTGGGGATGTCTGAGAGGAGCTGTAAAGCATTTGCCTTTCTGAAACTCAAAAATACTTCACATTCCTCTGATTCCTCTTAGGTGAAAGACAAGGAATCCATGGCAGAACACCAGTTTTCAATAGTCTAGCAGGCAAACATTTCTCAGCCTAACATTTTGGAAATTATTCTACAAAAAAGATTTAAATTTTACATGCCAGAAGCATAGTTGGCGTCTTGAAAACCCATTTAGGTGAGCTTGTGGTCTAGGAAAGCAATATGACATAGCTAGCTCAAGCCATCTGCTGCACATGCCTGTAATGACATTTGGTTTAAATAATCTCTATCTAGCAAGCTCCTGTGCATGGGCTGGTGCAGCAGGAGCTTTCCCAGCCTACTCCAAGCTCATTAGCCACCAACTTACTCCTCTGAGCCTCCTGCTCAGTGGTAAGGGTGCATCTTCTGTCATCTTGAAAGCAACACTGTTCTCTGCCTTGTCTACATCTGCCTGCTCTAAAAAAGCCCTGGTAAGTTGGTGAGGGCAAGGTTGGGCAGGAGAACGGAGCACATGGGCAGTCACGGGTAGTATTGCCCCTAATGCAATGACAGGGTAGGTGCTCATCTCAGCCACTCTGCCTGAATGGGTGCTCGTTTCTTTTGCAGAGAGACAAGAAGGACACCCTAAGGAGTGTCTAGGGTGAAAATGCAAACGGGGGCAGAAACCCCTAATACCTGGCTACTGAGCTCATGGCCCAGCCAAGGCTAAATGGTTTTGTTGTGTTCACAGAATCATAGAGTAGTTTGGGTTGGAAGGGCCCTCTAAAGGTCATCTAGTCCAAGCCCTCTGCAATGAGAAGGAACATCTTCAACTAGGTCAGGCTTCTGAGAGCCCCATACAACCTAACCTTGAATGTTTCCAGGGATGGGGGCCCTCTGCCTCTCTGGGCAACCTGTTCCAGTGTCTCACCACCCTCAGCCTACCACCCTTCTGTATTTCTCACTCCTCGAGAGCTGCTCTGACCAAGGAAGCCCTCATTTTCAGGTGGGATTTCTCCCTTCATCCAGAAGATGGCATAATCTGCTTAGTCTCCACTTGCTCTGGATGTGCTTATCCCCCTTGCCCTCTAATCACAGAATCACAGAATCTTCTAGGTTGGAAGGGACCTTAAAGATCATCTTGTCCAACCGTCAACCTAACTGACAAAAATAGACACCCACACAACAAACAAGGAGCATCATCACTAAACCATACCTCCCAGCACTACATCAACCCGTCTTTTGAACACCTCCAGGGATGGTGCCTCAACCACCTCCCTGGGCAGCCCATTCCAATGCCTGATAACCCTTTCAGTGAAAAAATTTTTCCTAATATCCAGCCTGAACCTCCCCTGGTGCAACTTGAGGCCATTTCCTCTTGTCAGCAGGGATGTGGTCTCATCTCACCTCACACCAAAGCTGACTGAAGGAGGAACCCCTCCTCTGCCCTGGCTCACCCTGTGAGGACAGGCTTGGCCATGCTGAGTGGAAAGGGATGTTAACAGGGAAAAATCAATGGAGAGACAGTGCGTCCCAGGCTCTCGACTGCCAGGACCTCTGGCTGTTCCTATTGCTTGGGTAAACAGAGGCCAACCCACTGCTGTCTTTGGACTTCCCATCCACATGGACACGCCAGGCTCCCCATTGGTAGGAGTGCTTTCACAGTGTCAGGACACTGCGTAGGAAACATAATTGGCCAGGGTGGGTTGCTATGACTTTTCCCAGAAACAGCGTCAATTAAAGAAGAAACAAGACTATTTAGTACAAAAGTCAACTATTGATTTCCTGATGTTTCCATCAAAATGAAGCCAAACCGAAAACCAACAAAAATATACAAGTCAGGAACATTGCTGGGGTTTACTTGCAAGTCAAAACAGTAGAGAACTGTGCTGCTCTTAGGAACCACAGCCACTTGTCTATATTTCCCCTCTCCTTCTTAGCTTAGTTGGGCTGTTCTGTCTACCTGGCCATCAGTTTTTCCTGGAAACACCTCAGCATGTAGATTAACAAATCTGAAAATGCAGGCAAACATCAGTGGTGAACTGAAAGTGGGGGAGAGCTGCTAAATCATACAGCCATAAACAGTAGTGGCTAGCTACCTGTTGGCTTGTAAAAGGTCAAAATTCAGAGCGAGCCAGTGATTTGCATTTTAACAAGTCTCCAGAAGCTGTGCCTCAGCCAAAGAACGAGAGTAAGCATTGTAATACATTATACATCAAATACATCAGTGCACCTCTCACCTGAAGAAAAAAATCATACTTCATGCCATCAGTTTTAAAACTCAAAAGCTTCAGAGGAAGAGAGCTGCCTTTTAGGAAACAGAGCTTACCTCATTGCAACGTTGCTGCCATCGATCACAATGGGTCTCAAGTGACTGGAAGAATCACCGTCATCTTCTCCAAGCCACTTCGACCCTGGTGAAGTGCTACATGATCCACGGGCAACAAGTTTTAGCTGGGAAGGTTGAGCCTGGCTTTCCAGAGCTTGAGGTTTGCTCCCCATCCGAATCAGCTCTTTCAGCACATCATCCTCCAGAGCCTCTTGGCCCAGGTTCTCCAGGACTTTGCATATGTCCTGTTTACCATATCCCAGCTTGCAGAAAAAATCCAGCTTGCTCTGGTGACCTTCCACCCCCACCGCAGAAACTTTTCTGGAGCCTGGTGGCACCGGCTTGCTGGAAAGTGAGCTGGCCAGTGCCATCCTAGCAGGCAATTATGTTCCTTCAAACCCAGTGCTCCTGTCTTCCCAGCCTCCTCCAACAGGCATCAGCTTTAGCTGGGGGAAAGATGAGAAACAACAAAAGGCAAGCGTTAATGGAGAAGGTGCAATCACAGCTATTTGCCTTCTGATCAGCTGCCTTCTCTCTGGAGAGACTGGAGAGACCATCCGGTCCTCTCTCTCCACGTTGCAGCATTTTTCTGGCCCACTCTTACTTATAAAAGCAGCGGAGCGTCCCCTGTAGTGTTTGTCCCTCTGCGGGCGTTATGTCAGACAGGTGTCACCCCCCTCCTCGGGCCGTGTACCCCGACACGCTGCGTGCGTAAGCGTGTGCTTCAGGCTCAGCTCGCAGGAAATGATGAAAGGGACAGTGTGGCCGGGGATTTTCAATTTGCTCAGTGTGGTTTGTGAGCTGCAGATAAAAATCTGTCGGATGATGCTGGATGAGCCCCCAACGCCATAGCAACTTCACCCCTGCAGCACATTTCATTGAGTGATTTAAGGAGACAAACTGTTTGCAAAGTAGCTGGGAACTCTGAACTTTTTTCTTTTTTTTTATAGTTTTGTTTTCCCCAGTGTGTGTGTCCCTGTGTGTACACACAGACACACCTCACAAAATCCTGTCACTCATCTGTTCCGATGATGCCCGAGTGACTCTTTTCCTGTTATTCGCTATTTCAGTGAGGGCTTTTACATTTAGAGAAGCGGCTTGTTTTTTGAAAGCTGCTGGGGCCGTGGTTGGAAGCAGGCAATCTAAAAATGTGTTTCAATTTCACTTAGATTTATTGTCAACAGAAACCGGTGATTCAGAAATGAGTGTGCAGAAGTAGCAGAAAGCTACTTCAGGCTTCTCCAGAAGTGCTCCGTTGACGTTTCTGGCCTACCCAGTAAGTGAGGGTGATGGGGAGCAGACACGGGCGTACCCAGAGCTGCTTCAGCCCAACAAGCGTGACGAGAGCAGGACACACATGGTGACCACTCGTACTTCAAGCCAAACATGTCACTGCTGGGCTTGTCACTGGTCACTGCTGGCTTGCTCGCTCCATCTCTGCAATTATTGGTGCTACCTGGATAAAAGCTGCAGCTGGTTCACCTACCCAAGTGGAGGATGTAAGGGCAGCCCTCTTCCTTTCACTAATTGCAGCCAGAAAATCAAGCAGAATAATTCGACCAAGCAACTACCTCCATGGTGAGCCCAGAGCCATAACCACATTGCACCCACCGGCTCCCCTTCCCAGTCCCACTCCCTGCCCAACAGTGGGACACCCCAGGAGCCCAGAAGCCAAAACCTTCTGGAGGAAGGCATGGAGGGACTGGAGAAGGGGAGATGGAAGAGGAGTGCGAGTACAGCCGCTCCCAGAGGCATTAGGGGTCTCCCTGGGATATGGGGAAGAAATCTGCTTTGAGTTCAGTTAATTTAAAACTGATTAGTTCAGTAGAAAAAGCTGATAACTAGGTTTTAGAAAAACCTGATAATCACCACTTCATACAGCTTTGACCTTTACTTTTCTACAACAGCCTTCCAACTTCCAGGTATTCTTCGGAGTAAGCAATCTGGCACTCTATTCAAAGTGACAAATAGCATCAGTCAAATAAAACCCACCTTATGTATGTCACATACATAAGGGGAAAGCAGTTACCATGTGTGCTTCTCTATTGAAATGAAAATGTTGCTTGTTATAGCCATGGGCTTGACTGGTATTTCTCACAGCCCATTCCACAAGTGTAACAGTTTTTACATCTTATCCTTGTCTTTAATTCATGGACCGAAGATGGAAAGGAATTTGCCTGCTTTTCATTTACTGAAATGGTTTCTCATCTTTGAAATAACTACGGAAATACATTAATGTCTCTTTATACCCAAATATAGCTGAAGTTGTCATTGCTGGGCTGGCGATGTAGCAAACCCTGCTTCCAGGTGTGCGGTCTGTGGCTCCAAACACTTAACACATACTACTTGATTGGGGTTTTTTTGATGTCTCGATTATTTTAATAAATTATGGTAAATTAAAAAAGAGTTGCTATCTGTCCTCAGGTTGAAAAGAAAATATTTAATACATATTTCAATAGCCATAACTATCATTTTTTAAACCTGTACTTCTATCTATTCTGATGCTTTTTTTTTTTTTTTTTAAATCAGAGCGATTTCCCATATTAGCATCACATTGCGTTGTGCCTATGTTTGTACTTGATTTTATCAGAAAGTAGGTTCAACTCACTCCTTCCCTATTTTACCGGGCACTTTTCCATCTGCAGAGAGTGCAGAGGCCACATCCATCTTGAAGCTCCCATCATCAGCAGCAGCAGCAGCGGACGCGAGCATGTGCGGGATGAAGGCCACTCACCCCATCACTTTTCCAGACCCATCCCAGGAAGACCTAAGCCCGTGGTCTGTGGCTGCAACCTTTGCTTCACAGAATCACAGAGTCATATGGGGTTGGAAGGGACCTCTGGAGATCATCTAGTCCAACCCCCCTGCCAAAGCAGGTCCACCTAGAGCAGGTTGCACAGGAACTTGTCCAGGCGGGTTTTGAATGTCTCCAGAGACAGAGACTCCACCACCTCCCTGGGCAGCCTGTTCCAGTGCTCTGCCACCCTCAAAGTAAAGAAGTTCCTCCTCATGTTTAGATGGAACTTCTTATGTTCAAGTTGTGCCTGTTACCTCTTGTCCTGTTGCTGAAAAAAGACTGGCCCCATCCTTTTGACACCCACCTGTGGAGGATGGAGAAGCTGGAGATGAGCTGCTCTGGGGGAATTTGGCAGATGTCCTTGCACTGGTGGGAAGGAAGCCGCGGAACTGGTAAAACAATGTCTTCATACAGTATTATTTGTGTGGAGGGAAATCTAGCAAGGCAACGCAAACAACAGATAGCAAGGTAGAAAAATATAAAAGTAACATTTTGGTAGTTTAAAAGTCTAAACACTTAAATGTAGCCAATTGTATTGCTCACAATAGCGTGTGGACATCCACTTGTAACAATTTGGCAGATGTCCTTGCACTGGTGGGAAGGAAGCCGCGGAACTGGTAAAACAATGTCTTCATACAGTATTATTTGTGTGGAGGGAAATCTAGCAAGGCAACGCAAACAACAGATAGCAAGGTAGAAAAATATAAAAGTAACATTTTGGTAGTTTAAAAGTCTAAACACTTAAATGTAGCCAATTGTATTGCTCACAATAGCGTGTGGACATCCACTTGTAACCTACCGGTGTAGAGAGTACAGCGCGTGATCAAAAGAAAGAAACTATATATGCTGTAAAAATAAAACGTTAAACGTCTTCGCTTCATTACTTGGCGGAGTCCGTGCCCTTCTTTGCCGCACCCACCCTTTAAGTATTTGTAGGCATTGATCAGATCCCCCCTCAGTCTTCTCCAGACTAAAAAGACCAAGTCTCTCAGCCTCTCCTCATAAGAGAGATGCTCCAGGCCCCTAATCATCTTTGTAGCCCTCTGCTGTACCCTCTCCAGCAGTTCCTCGTCCTTCTGGAACTGGGGAGCCCAGAACTGGACACAGCTTCCTGACGTGCAGCATTTTCTCCTTCAGGACAAGGGATGATCCCCTTCGGCTCAGTGAGCACAGGAGACGCTGGGCTCTGGGTGGCTGCCTGGGGTTGGCACGATGCAGTATCAGCCACCACCTGCAACGTGCTACTTCTGCAAAGTTCACCTCTGGATTTCTGCTGCAGTTCGGCCAAATATTAAAAGTGAGTAGCACTGTGACTGCCGGGTTTTCACCCCAGAGAGAAAAAGTTTGAAAGCCTGAGATAAAAGCCTTGGTTACAGCCAACACTGAAGTCAACACTCTTCAGAAGAGAGCATTAAGGAATAATAAAATCACTAGTTTACACGTTAGTAAACAGTCAGTAGCGTTCCCAAGTCCAACAGCTCAGTCGGTTGTGTATAACCAGCACAACAGCATATGACAGGAGGAGAAGTTGTGTATCACAGAGTCCAGCTTCTGCTATCGCAGCCAAACAGGTTGTGAAATCCCATTTATATACTTTATGACCCTCATTTGCAAACCACTTAGATTTCCTCCTGCCGCTTTCCCCTCCCTTGCCTCAGCAGGTTCTGTTGGGAAGCTGCTTCCATTGAGAGTCAAAGTCTTCCCATTTTCCGGCTAAATCTCCCCGCAGGTAATGGTGTGCCCACCCTATGTCCTAGGTTAAAAAGCACCCCTCTCTGTCTGCAGTGGTGTGCCCGCTCCTGCACACACACACACACACACACACACACAGAGGACGGCTTTTGTCATGTTTCCAAAATGCTATTTTGATTTTAACATTTTAGCTATTAAAAAAAAAATTAATTTTGACCATAAAAATTGAGAAACCTGTCAAGGTCTTCTGCCTTTTTTTTTTTTGTAGTGACAGGCTTGGAAGATTAGAAAATAGTAATTGGAACTTTTTGTAAAAGCTTTCAAAAAAAGAACTTGTGGTTATATTCTAATTCCTCATCTTGAATGGCTTTAAGGAATAATTTTTGCCCAGTCCTTCCACCAGATGTTTGCTCCACTTGCAAAGAGCGCGAGCAGGACCGGGTGGCCAGCAGATGTGTGCTTAAGCAGCACCTCCAGCAGCGTGGCTCCACAGAGCCACAGTAAGGATCAGTTTGACCCAGAGGGAGCTGGGGCTCCTCAAAGCCCCCACCAAAGCCCTGTCCTGCCCCAGCGGTGGCAGCAGGCACAGAGAGGAACATGGCCCTGACCAGACCTGGCACTGGTTGAGGCAGAGCAGGTTGAGGTGTTCTCTAAACTGGACATGTCCATGCTGAGTAACACCAGGAGCACAGCAACAGCTCTCCACCACGACAGCGTTCCCCTTCACCCCTTGAGTCTAGACTGCCTCATCCTCCTCTTCTGTCCCCGAGAATGACACCACAAACCATCCCACCCACGGCCATTGAGCCCACCAGCCCATTCAAGCCCATCCATGAGCTGTTTCTCTGAAAGAAGACGGGCTGCTCTGCTTTCAGAAAAATAGGAATTTTTACTTTCACAAATTAGAGACGCACATAACCTCTTAATAACAGTACGGGCCATTTGTTGTCCTGAAGAGATTCGCCTTTGTCTTCCCCACCTTCCCCGCCGTGTTTGCCAAAGCCAACAAAAGCGAACCTAGGCAATTTTGTGATTCTGTGAACACCCCGTAGAAGAAGCCAAGAAGCCATACTCACAGGTGGCCCCAGCTCGCTCTGCTCCTTACCCAACAGCTGCGATTTCTGTGTCCCACCAGTACTGTCCCACCATCCGCCAGCCAGAAGCTGGATCCGGAGCAGCACCGGGCTCACACGGAAGAGGCTTTTATGGCAAGGCTGGTGTCAACTGAGAGCAAACAAGTGGAGTGAGCAGGTTAGAGCTCGTCCTGTAGGAAGGTTTTACTTCCTCATTTGGCTGGCAGAGCTCTCATTTAACTGTGCAGGTTGATAAACTTTCACTTCATTTTTCAAAAGGAAGGACAAAAAAAAAAAAAAGGAAGAAAAATAGAGGTTCCCAAAATATCTCAGTTCTGAGTCACAGGAGATTAGTCAAACCCACGCTGGCAGGGATCCCCACCAGCGGGCAGTGAGAAGTAAGTACGATCCCACCAGGGATGCTCATTCCCCCCCTGCATCCGGCAAATTTCTGACTTTCAGGGATACATGGAAAAAATCTTTCTAAGAACATCAACTTTGTGCTTAGCACCTGATATTGCAAAGCCTCATTCAAACACCCCTGCATCTGTGGGGATCTGCTCCAGGAGACAACAGTAAAATATCAAAACCCAAACCAAACCCCCTCACCTGCTGGTGTCCCCCGTGAAAGACAAGTTCAGAGACACGCAGCCCGCCTGCAGCAGAGACCGACAGGGAAAACCCTGAGGTTTTCCTCCGCTTGGTCCTTACCTTGCTGCAAACAAACGTGCCCCCAAACCACTTTTGGGCAGAAGAGAAGGTTGGGGACTCAAGGAGGGGTCAATCTCTGGGACGCCTTGGATGCTGCAGACAGCTCTGCAGGAGAGGTGCCCTCTGCCCACAGGGCCAGGGAGGGTGGGGGGATCCCCCACCGCAGAAGGAGACCATCTGTGCCACTGTCACAGGGTGACACACCACAGCAGGGCTGCCCTTTCCCAGCCAGAAATCCCCCCTCCCCACCCCGCTGCTTACATACTTTGTGGGAGGAAGCAGGATGGCCAAACCCTTGGTGGTGGCACCCTGTTTAATCCAAAGGCTGGTGGCTGCTGAGCCAGCATCGCCACCGCTTCCCAGCTGCTTCCTGGCACTGGCTTTGCCTTGGCATCGCTGCCAGGAACCCTCTGGGAGCAGGGCTGCCCTGCTGAGCAGTGCCCAGGGAGAAAGGGCAGCACACAACCCCCTACTTCAAGCAGCAAAAAAACTTCCTCTGGTCCACAAAGGTCTGGCTGGGCAGGTTACCCACCACAGAAACAGGAAAGCGTTCCTCAACTACACACGGATGCTGGTTGTCAGCTGCCCAGAAGAGCCACAGGAGCCTCTGGCTGCACAACCCTGGAGAGGAATTGGACTAGACGATCTTTAAGGTCCCTTCCAACCTAGACGATTGATTCTATGATTCTAAGAAGGACCTTCTTTGCTCCATTTAAACTTGCAGAACGCCAAAACGCCTCACCACGAGACCACCGCGGAGCAGCCCCTATTGGAAAGGAAAGAGAAAGCTGCTGCATTATTTATAAACCAGGAGGGCAGCAGAGCAAAGCCCACGACATTGTGTAGGATGGGTTAAACTCCTTCTTCTCAGTAAAACGGTATTTTTGCTACATAAATTAAGAGCAAACCGGAGCTTATAAAAAGAAACGAGAAGAAAATCAGATAAGGGAACGTTGCGCTCCTCATTTGTGGTGAAATGACTAAACCCACCTACTGTAAAAAGCCACGAGCAAAAAAACTCCAATGTCATTCAAATCACAGTCAGCCAGGCAGACCCTCATCCAACTCCTGAGATCTGTTAGGGGCCTTTACCCGGGTGATCACTGGGTGAGAGACAGAAGACTGTGCAAAATAAAGAATCACATTTAAATCTTTGGATGGTCTCAAACCCTTTCGCACACCAGCGCAGATAAACATTTGGGACCTCAAGGCTGCGGTGCCATAGTGTCCTGCTTTCAGCTGGGGTAGAGAGAAATTCCTTTTCTAGTAGCTGCTGTGTTTTGGATTTAGCGTGAGGGTAATGTTGATAATACATATTGTCTTAGTTGTTGCTAAGTGATGTTTACATCAGCCAAGGACCTTTTCAGCTTCCCACAGAAGCCGAGAGGCACCAGACAGGACAAGCTGGCCAAAGGAATATTCCACCCCATAGACGTCATGCTCAGTATAGAAATGAGGGTTGGGCAGGGATCACTGCTGGGGACACTGATCGTCGAGTGACGAGAGTGACTTGTGTAACTTTATTTTGTATATTCTTTCACCATTATTATCATCTCTATTATCATTTTTATCTTCTGTTACTGTTCTGTTTTTATCTCACTGTTATTATCTCACCTCTCCCTTTCTTCTCCCCATCCTACTGGGGCGGGCGGACAGGGGGAGTGAGCGAGGGGCTGTGTGGTCCTAGTCCCTGGCTGGGGTTAAACCACGAGGCAGAGACATTTCCTTTCTCCGCTCTGCTCCGTGGTGCTGACAAGCACTATGAGTTATCACAGCGCAAAGATTTATTGCTGCTCAATGGTATTATGTTCAAGAGGGAGAAGACTGCAGGTGGAGGGGTTTCTGGAGGGGAAGATGCCCCCACTAATGGGTGTTCCTGTGTTGAGCTGAAGACTGAGGATTTACTGGGTCGTGAAACAGCTGGACCTTCACCATAAAGAATCATCACCCACTTCAAAGCC